ATACTGTGGTTTTCTCCTTTTCTGTTTTCTTCTTTTATTTCTTCTTCTTTTATTTCTTCTTCTTTTATTTCTTCTTTTTCTCTTTTCTTCTTTTCTTCTTTTTCTGTGCCGGATGGCAGAGTTTTCCATCCTCCTTTACCTTTTCCATCAGGTACCTAAAAATGTAACCTCTTGACTTGGTCCTTGCCATGTTGAGTCAGGAACGTTAATGTTTAATTCCTGTAAATGCTGGACAACAACATTCATACTTTGGCCAACCGTTTCCTCATCTGGTCCCCTGATCAGAATATCATTTACATATTGTAAAATTGTCACTTCGGGTGGCAGGATGATTGATCCTACCTCTTTAGCCAACATGGCATGAGCAACGGGACGGCTATTAATCACCTTGCGGTAGGCGATGAAAGGCGTACTGTATTCCATCCCAACTTTTGCTCTTGTATTGGGATCATAAAGAATAGATCTTTTACATCTAACACATAGCTAGCACATTCATTTACTGCATTAATTGTATCTACCATGCTAAGAACAGCAGCTGTCAGAGGGTCAGTGACTTTATTTGAAGCCCTATAGCCATGTGCCGCGTCCCATCTGTTTTTTTAACAGGCCGTATGGGGCTGTTATATGATGAATATGGTTATATTTTCCCCTATAATACCCTAATTATTACTCTAATTGTTTGATTAATTCTGTTAAAGTTTTTATGGCAGGAGCAGTTTATTGGTTTACTATTAGACAAGAAGGCTACATGAAATCATAGAATCATAGAATCATGGAATCATTAAGGTTGGAAAAGACCTCCAAGATCATCGAGTCCAACCGTCGACCCAACACCCCCATGCCCACTAAACCATGTCCCTCAGCGCCTCATCTACCCGTCTTTTAAATACTTCCAGGGATGGGGACTCAACCACCAAATACGGATTTACATCCCCTATTGCGAATTATAAACCTCGCCCTAACTACGTATTGTGCCTTAAGACATGAGTTAACGATCATACAAAGTCGCCACGATTAGCAGGACACGAAAGAATGAAGCATCCAGAGCGTGAAGACAAACCTCTCCCGTTTCTTCAGCGCCGCAGAATTTCACTAAGCTTAACAATAAATGTTTTGCAGCCTTTTTTGAGGTTTCTCACTTAATACGAACGACAAAAAGCCGTGTGCCGGGGGGGACCCCCTTCTTCTGTCCTGCCGCGGTAAAAATCGGCATGGAAAAGGAGTCGGCGAGCGCAGCCAACAGTGCTCGTCCTCCCTTTGCATCCCCGTAGCCGCGTGAGGCCAGCCGTTAAACCCGGTATCAGGGGAAACGGAGCTTAAAGCTGGTCTCAGGGGGAGCGGAGCTTAAAACCAGAGCTTCAAATAGCTGCGCTGCAAACTGTTAAGCCGAGATTTAAAAAAAAAAAAAATCCCCCATTGCTCTAAAACATGCTTAATTAAAAAAAAAACCAACTCTTTTTTTTGTTTTTTTGAGAGGAAAAAGATTTTCTGGACCGTTAATAAAGAAAATAAATCTTTTTGGAGATACTATTTCATCTTTATCTGGGCTTTTTTTACATTTCTGTTTAAAATGTACATAACACATTGGTGCAGATGTGCACGTGGATAAATAAATAGATAAACCTCGGGGGGCGGGGAGCCCAACAATATTTTAGGGCTCGAAAAAGGTTGCAGACCCCCCCCCGGGGGGGATGACGTCACGGCTCCCTTGACCACGACCGGCGCCCACCTTCCCGGTGACGTCACCCCTCC